CTCAGGACAGAGCTGTTTTGGTCCAGCTTTTCTTTAAAGCATTTTAACCTGATGTCCAAAACAAAGCAGTAAATTAGATGAACCAGTCAACTGAAATTCAATGTCTTTAGCTGAAATTTGGCATGTAGCTTTGCCAACTCTGTTATAGATTTTTATTTTTTTTATGACTATTTGGCTTTTTATCTCTCTCTGTGCCTTTTTTCCCCTCCTCTTTTTCTGCCATAAAATGTATTTTCCATTACAATATTTGAGCACAGGAAAGCACCACCTTAGGAACTTCTTTAATGTAGCCATTTTACTTAAATATTGTAATCACTGGAAATATTTTCTATTAAACTTGCAGGTTTCTTTCATTCTGTCATTGGAACGTGGTTTTAAATGTAAATTATTTTGTTTCAGAGGTGCATAGAAATGAATGTAATGTGGAAATTCACTTTGGTCAAATGAAGCTAAACAAAGCATTAAGAAAAGCAACAAAACCTTATGATCTGGATCAATGCAGGGACATCTACTTAATTTCCATTGCTGAGTTCTGTAATTCTAGCACCAGTGAAATTAGTTTTTCTCTGTGTAGATCCTAGTTCAAACTCTGAATAATGCAGTATATTTTGAAGATTTAAGTTTTACCAGTGCACATTTTAGGAGTCACTCCACATCAAAGTTAATAGTGCATTGTATAGAATTACCAAGAAAATTTTTATACAGGCAGTTTGTTCCCTTTTTCACTTGGACCTCATAGTGATGATACCAGCACTTTAAAAATCCTCGCTTTACTTGTAGGTCATTACCATCCTGGTAATGGCATGGCAAAAGGTAGTTTGAATTGTCACTCTATTCTCGTTCCTCAGCTGATTGAGAGCAATTCTGATTACCAGAGGTAGTCAGAGCTGCCTAGAAATTGTAAAATTTCTGCCCTCTATGGCTTGTTGCTACCAATTCCAAAGAAGCCATGGTTCTCTGGCCCAGACAGCAATATTGACCTCTTTTCTTGAACTTGTCTTTCTTCTCTAATTTCTTTCAGTATCAGCAAGGGAAGCAGAAACAAACAAATCCAAACCTTAAAACTTCTCTTGGGAGGAAAAATAAGCTAAGGTAGCTTTCTAAGGAAGTAGAAACCAAGCTGAAATTGATCTTAAAGTCAGCTTTAAGGCTTGACCTTCTGTTCTATAGGTCACATGAACACCAACAACACTTCTATAGACATTTGGTTCCTAATAAACCCCCAAAAGAATGACATCATACACTTTCACATGGTTATGAAGTTTGAATCTACCGGAATCATGCATTGGAAAGGTTTCCCCTGGTGATATTTTTCTATAGGCATACCTTACACCTCTGTACTAAGTGAAGGAGAATTAGATGCCCAACCCTTTCATTCTTACAGTCATTTCCTAATCAAGATGGAATTTCTATCTTCTTTATGACAGAGAGAACCCACTGAACAAAATAGTCCAAACACAATTCTTCGTTTGTATACAAAGAAGAGTAATCAATGCTGTAATTATGTGTATATATCTTAGTTTAAATGCAGAAGTGTCTTTCACATTTATTTAAACATTTCTTCAAAAGTTAATGAATCAAACTTCAGTTATATCACGGGTATAGCTATCTCAGAAGGATGTACCTCAGGCACTGAGCTGATGAAAGAGAAAATAACTGGCTCACAAAAGGAAGATTTTAACAGAATTCAGAGTGGAATCCTTATCTCCTTTCCAGCCCTTCCTTTTATTATAGCACTTTTTCTTTTCCCTGAATCACGGAACAAAAAAACCCCAGCTTAATGCAGATTTTATCTCCTGTAGAGTAGCAGTGAAATAGCAGCTCCACAAAATCACTGTCCTTTACACGGTGTGAGTGACTCATTAGCGGTGCCAAGGGTTGTTTGCTCTTCTGATCTGCTCATTCCCAGAGCTGCATCCAGGATCCTGTTTACTCAGGATTCCTTCCCTCTGTGTATTTTTTTGTTGAAAATAAAAGTCCTTTCTCCCCCTAAGCCTTGATTGCCTGGAGCTGGTATTGGTTGTACCCTGTTACTGGTGGTGGCCCAGCACTCACCGAGGCTCCAGCAAGAACAGGCAGACAGTCCTTGCAGGTGGGATGTTGGAGTGGCATTTCAGAATATCAGCAGTTATAGGAGCTAACTGACATTCATTTTGGAAGTGGGACCGACCCACTCCATGGGTTCTCAATCTTAAAGCCATCTGTAACTTTCCAGAGTTAGCTTCTGTTTTCCTGGAAGAGCATCCAGCACATGCCCACTCCAGGGCTCCTTGGCTCATCCTCCGTGTGGTTAAGGGGGATGGCAAACTTCATCTAGAGGAGCAATCCCTCTGCCATCACTGAACACTTGCAGTAAATGAAGGAGTTAAGGATAATCGAGTAATTAGGAACAACCTGACACAATGGTTTTGCCATATTAGTTTTCATAACAGAAAGGCATTGATTCACATAAGGAAAATCCTATGCTTTGTGGCAGTCATAGATGGGGATTGCCCAAAATCAGATTTTTTTGACTGAGATACATCTCTATAAACAAAACCAAAATGGAGGAGAACAAGTAGAGCTTTATAGGAGGAGAGGGAACATCCTCTTTCTCCATCACACTGCAACTTAAGTTGGTTAAATTATTACTCGTTTATTACAATTTAGCCTAAGGCTTTAAAAGTGTAAATACTCATATGATCTTTCTCCCTTCCTTACGCTAAAAAGTCCAGACTAGTTACTACATGTTATTTTTATTCTTGCTCCATTTCTATAGAGTTTCATTGGGAAACCTGCACCATCACCTAATGGATCTATTTCTCCTTTTACAGCTTTTTTTCTGTGTATGTGTTTGGTGTCTCCAAAGTTTGAAAATGGGAACACAACCTCCCATTACACAAATCCGTTCCCAGTGGGCAGACAGTTAGAGATGAAAAATCACAAGCACTCTGCAGAGATTTAAAAGAGGAAAATTAAAAGCTGTATCATTTGATTAACCTGTGTCTCACATTTGAAAATTAATGATAATGAAGTTTACTTTCATGTAAGCCTAGAAATATTTCTCAGAGATTTTGAAAGCCCAGAACACTGTCATTTACTTAATCCTGAGATACCCCTATGCAATTTTAATAGTTTATATTCAAAAGCATGTCTTAACTGGTTTTGAACACCTTTACAAGCCAGTACCTGCAATATAGATCCAAATTTTCTCCCTATCTTCTTCCTCCCACTGTTCGACAACTTCACTGTTGAACAAGCCTGAGTTGGAAAGCTGATGGTTTAGTTCAATACTATAATTATGTGATGGCTAAAGTCAAGTTCCTGATTTTCCAGAGATTTTCCCCTTTTTTGTTTACTTTTCTTTCCATTGAATAGAAAGAACAGAAGCTTCCAGGTGAACAGAATTGTCTAAAGCAAATTAGTTTAATGATGATGCCTTTTCCACGAATCAATGAGGCACATTAAAGATGCAGAATGCACTTTAGAGTGATCCAAAATGTGGAAAATAGCAAGATACCAGTGCTATCCCCCTCTAAATTATAGATTGAGAATTAGATTCTAAGATTCTACTCTTGGCCATGCAGGTGCAAATCCATTAATTTCAGAGCAGCTGCTTCAGGTTGACACTGAAGTGATTGAGACCTGAACTCTCCTGGGCAGCTGGTTCTTCCCCATTGCTCATGGCAAGCAGGACGTGCCTGGTGCCTCAGTGGTCCTACCTTCTCTACCACACTGAATTACAGCAATGTGTAAACTAAGGGACGATATAGGACCATTTCTTTATGTTGTAGCAGGACGTGTGGGAAATGGATGAATGTGTCTGTGAAAGGCATAATGAAACATTTGGAAATAGAGTTCAGTTGTTTCCATCTAATCATCCACGTGTCCCTGTGGTTTGGTGGGACATCCATTTGGTGGGGAGCTTTGAAAGTGTTAAGCCTTACGTGGGTCTGCTTCAATTGGCAATAAGTGGATCTGTGTATCCATTGATAAACATTTTGAAAATACACAAAAAGAAAAAATGTGCGAAGCTCTTTTCCTCTACTGCATATTTATTGATTTAGCTGTGTGCTGGAAAGCCTTCCACTTAAAATATCTGTATAGTTGACATAATTTTCAACCTTTCTGAAGGATCCCACAGACCTTCAACGTAGTTTTTAAATGCACACTAGCAATTAAATCTGTTCTTAACAGCCCATTCCTGCATCCCTCTGAATCAATGAAGTGTAGGATTTTTTTACCTTTTTAAGGCACAACAGAAGGACACACCTAAATTTATGCATTGCTGGTGAAGGAAGAGTAATTATGAAAAACTTTGACACTTCTTTGGCTGTGGTAAACTGAGAAAAGCAGCCAAAATTCAATACTCACATCAAAGGGACATCTACGTTAAATGCTCTGCATCTGAGGGGGTCAATGTACAGAGTAAGGATGCATGCTGATGTATCATTTTAGATATAACTAAATTGAATTATGAAGAATTTACATGTTTTTTTCAGAATTAAAAAGTAGCAGTTGAGATCAAAAAAATAGGAGTCCTGGTTTTTTCAGGTTTAGAGCAATTCCTGTCATGAGAATTAGGCTGGTGAAGGGTTTGTAAACCTTATTTCACCAGACTTTGTCTCCATAAGTGCAGCAAAGGGGAATTTTCAAGCAGCCTGATGAGCTTCCTGGCCTGCAACTTCTAAGGAAATAAAACCCATGGTGTTTGTATTCCCTCATGCAGCTAGTCCCAGATTCCTCCATCCTCAGACAGCACAGTCTGTATTTGCAAGAATTTGCAGATAGATTTAGATAAATTTGTCTGAGTAGCAAAATAACATGAGGATTAAGAATTGCCTATAAAATGTGAGCTTTGGTAATAAACCAGAATGTGGGGGAGTTCTGCTCCAAGGCAGCAGTATGTCTTGAGTCAAGGAGGCTCAGTGAATAAAACCTTCTCAGCATGGTATTAAAATGAAGTTTTTACTAATTTTGGCTTGGCTTGTGATAGATGAAAATACATTAATTTTCCACCAGCAGGAAAGCCCTGCGCGTTTTCATTTCAGTGGTAATGGAAGTGACAATATATCAGAGCGCTTTGAGAAGGCAGGGAGAGAGAGCAGTGATCTGTCAGGACTTTCACTTTTGAGATGTTCTTTGGGCATCTATCTGAGGTGCTGCTGCCCCTTTCTGCCCCAGATTGCTGCTTCAGCAGAGGTAAATGATGCATATGCTCTGGAAGCTGCATGATGGTCTTATTATGGCAGTCTGTCCAAGAAAAAGAATGTTCACAGAAATGAATGGAAAAGATCATTGTTGTGTCGTTTTGGACAAAGTGTTTTTTTGCCTCTGAGATTCCTCCTTCTGCTAGAAATGGAGGCATTCCAGATGATGTGATTTTAAAGGGAAAAAGATGTAAACAATTTGCTTTGGTATGCCAGAGACAGGCTTAATTATCTGGAGATTTGCTGGATATGTCTGCAAACTATTACAGTCTGAATTAAATTCCTTTGAAAAGCCAGGCCTTACTCCTCTTTATTGCTCTTTACATCTAAACACCTTGATAAGCCACACATATTTGTGTTAATTAGGCAAGTGTTCTACAATCTCTCTGTTCCTTTTTTCTGTTCAGAGGAAAAAAGCCCAGTCAAGGTGTGTTGTCCAGGGAGACCAACCTGTCCACAGCTCCCTGGGCAATGAAAATTGCCGTGGCCAATTGCAGGGGCCCCAGGCCTGAACAAAAGAAACTGCAGCAAAGAAGTAACAGGCTCTGAAAATACCTACTGTCTTTAATCAAGGGAAAGAGACCAAGTGATGCAAACGTGGAACGGGAAGCGCAGGCGGCTCTTGGACTGTGGGCGATGAAGTGCTTTGGGAAAAGAGCTGAGTTACATGACGGTTCCATTCATCCTGAAGGTTTGCTCGAGCTGCTGTGGAAGCTGCCACACCTCATGTTCTCTCTGAGCTTTCTCTTAAAACAGAGCGTAAAGGTCTGTCTGGCAATTTCCATTAGCAGTCAGTGAATGTTGGATTGAAGGGATACTTCCCTACCAGTGTTTCTCCAGCTTTTGAAGAATCTAAATGAAGTAATTATTTACATCCTTTTGTGTTGCAAGGAAAACCTGAATATCATGGAGGGGGTTCCTTCTCCCCAAGCCCTATCTAGGTAGAAACACTGACATGATTGAGTGCTTAATATGGTATTTCTCCAGCTCTGCCAGGAAGAAATAGAGTTTGAGAAGCATGAACTGTCCCACACTATCTCAGCCAGGCTTAGATTGCAAAGTCTAGTAAAACTTCTCTTTATGTGTGGGTACAGTGCTGGCCACAGATGTATGGGACTTTCTACTCCCACTTGGTCTCTTTCAGGTGGAGGTCTGTGTTATCAGAACTGAAGAGCTCATCAGATCATCATCCATATTTTCTCCACCATTTTCTGTCTTGGGGGAAAAAAAAAAATAAAGCATAACCAGCAATAACATTTCTAAAGCATAAGGCTGAAAGCAAGTGAATTTCTGATTTAATGATGTGCTAATATTAAACATCTAACCTAAAATAATGTTGTTTAAAACCAAGAAAAAGCCTAGGAATATGTATCAGGGGAAAAAATAATAATAATAAAATAAATTTTTTTTAAAAGCCGGTTTTGGTTTGTTGTGGGTTTGTTGTTGTTTGTTTGTTGTTTGGGTTTTTTTTTTTTAATTTTCAAGTTGGAGGCAGGTTATAAAGTAAATCTGGAAAGAGTCAGCCACCAACAGTGACTTAGGATCCAGAAAGAAAATTCTCCTTTTTACAACCTTTTGATAGAGTGTTTCGTGAAACAGCTGGAGATCTGTGGGGACAGTGGCTATGTTCAGCCTGCTTGCTGTTTTCCACATATTCAGAGAGGGCTGGAAAGGACTGTTCATACCATCCAGTGACCATGAGATACCACTGCTGATTTAATACGGTGCCTAACATTTCTATTGCTAAATAGAAATCTGGGGCACAAAGGGGACATTGTACTTCACAAGACTTACCATGTTGATGAGCACCTGCAGTACAGACTATTCATGTCAGAAACCAAGCTAGGATGGACTTGTGCCCATCTCCCCATTTATATGCCCATTTACAATCCAAAGAAGTGTTCAGATCAGAAGAGGAGCATTTCCTTTTTTTTTTTTTCTCCTCCATTACAAGAAGTAAATTGAAAAGAAGGTCAATATGAGGATGAAGAAATCAGGATCAATCTGAGATCACTTTCTGAAACCTAAATTTGTACCCTCATTACTCAGTATATATGGAAGAGTGTTTAAATTCCAGGTTCTCGTTAAGCCTTTTTAGAGAAAATCATGAGATTTCACAAGCTTTGGAGCTTGTGCACTCCCAGATTTCTAGAATCTGACAAATTACAGAGGTGGAACCTATTCCTGGATTTATAGATCTGTATTTCAGTCTCTTTTTCATCAGCCACCAGCTAAAATTCATGCTGCGTGGTGGTCTGGTTCAGGCCTGTCTGTGATCCAAGCATTAGGAGAGAGCACAACCTTCTCTGGAAAGAAGACATCAGTTAAAAGAGACTTCTTTGGTTTCTGCTGGATAAAGCCACACTGTCAAGTAAACACAAACTGTTTCACTCACTGTGATTTAATTCTTTTGCTAAGGAAAACAATTCTGAACCACCTATATTCCTACAATAATGGACACTGGCCATGTTTAACTTTTAGTTTTAAACATGTGCTATTAATTACAGTACCATCCCAGATTTCCTGGTCTATGACTTACTGTTCTCACTAAAATGTAACATGCATAGCAAGCCAACTACTATGGCATAGCCAGGCTCACTAACTCCCAGGATTTCCCTGGCTGTGCTCAGGTCCACTCCATTGCCTTGAACTGGTTTGTGCTCCAGCTCAGAGCTGTGCTGCAGACCTGTCTGGGGCATCAGATTGACTCAGGGTCAAATATCAGAGCTGGACACAGAAAACAGAGATAAACATCCTCCAGGTTTTATGCTGAACTAGTTAGATCAGGTGTTCATAGCAACTAAACAACGTTGTCAGGTAGCTATAATCCAAATCAGGTCAAAACTTAATCAAAGTACTGGAGGGATGGAGGGATGTGCACTGAAAGAAAATTGGTTTGGTCAAAATCAACCTGCCAGGCCAATGGTGATGCTAAAAGTTAGAGGCACTGATTTCCAGAATTTTACTACACTGTGTGTTTACTGGGTATATGGGGAAAAGATAAGTGTTCACACACACAGACACAATATATGCAGTCCCTTCAATTATAAACGTATAAAAATATTATATGAGGTTGCTGTTAAAACTACCACTCTTCTGACATTGTTGAGTGTGCCTTTAGACAACTGACAGAGACGCTCTAATGCTGGTTTATAATTGCTGAATGCAATGCAATGCATTCCACCCACAGGGTGAGTCCCCTATACTTCTATTAAATAACACTGTACTGACTGATCTGCTCAGTAAGCTGTTGTGGCCTCTTCATGTGTCATGTTTCTCAGCTGCATAAAAAGTTACTAAGCCAAACTGGTGATACCCAGCCTGCATAGCGAGGCCTGATAGAATTGAGTACCTTTTCTGCTTTTTAACTGGTAGAAAGAAAAATACTGATTTTAGAGGTGCTGTCGTGTTGTGGTCTTTCTGCTATTGGGTGATTGGGATGTGAAGAGACCACTCTCTGATACAGAACACAAGAGAGAAATGTTTTTAAAATTATGTCAGAACTATATAGGAGGAAAAGGACCTTCTGATTTCCATTTAACATTGATAAATAGCTCTCCAAATCCCTGGATAAGGTAGGTAAAAATTATAGAGTTTATCACTTCATCCATAAAGCTTTCAGGACAGTTGTACTTCTTAACACGGCACAAAACAGAGCTCCACTGATATCACAGGAGAGCTCTCTGAGGCTGGGGCACCTCTCTTCTGAGAGGTGTAAGAGCTTGCCTGGCTTAGAGACAGAGACTGACACGTCTTGACACTGGATTACAGGACACGTGGCAAGGGACAGATTCAATGACACTACAAAATCCCTCTGGTA